GTGGTCTTAATACTTACTTGGTCAAAAGTCTATCATCAAGACAGATAAAAGAGCTTTAAAGTTCCTAATGGAACAAAAGCTGCATACCAACTCTCAGCTAATGTGGCTGATTAAACTAATGCCTTTTGACCATGTGATTGAATACAAAAGAGGAGCTGAAAATAAAGTGGTTGATTCACTTTCAAGAGTATTTGTGGCTGACCTGTTTTCTTTAATCATTTTTACTACCAGCTCTGAGCTAATGCAAGCTATAGCTAACTGTTGGGATACTGACCTGGAACTAAAAGCTCTCATTGAGTAGCTTCAGGCAAATCCAGCTGCTCACCCTCGATTCATTTGTTACCATAAGTAATTGAGGAGAAATGGAAAACTGGTAGGGGTAAGGTCCAACAGCTAAGGAGGAATATTATTGCTTTATGGTATTCCACCCCTCAAGGTGGTCATATGGTATTGAAGCAATACTTAAAAGGTTAATGACACTGTTTTATTGGAAGGATATAAGGAAGGATGTGAAGACTTTTGCACAATGGTCTAACATTTTCCAAAGAAACAATGCTGACTTAGCAGCTTATCCAGGACTCTTGCAACCTCTACCAATACCTTAGGTGGTGTGATCTTAAATTAGTATGGATTTCATAGATGGTCTTCCCAAATCCCATGGTCATGAAATAATCTCAGTTGTTGTGGATAGGATCAGCAAGTATGGCCACTTCATTCCTCTAAAATATCCCTATACTGCTCAGTCTATTGCTAAGGTGTTTATGGATGTGGTTTTCAAACTACATAGACCTCCAAAATCAATAGTCAGTGATAGAGATGTAGTCTTTATGAGTTCTTTTTGGTAGGAGCTATTTTCTATCCAAGGAGTATAATTGAATACCTCTTCATCTTACCACCCACAAAGTGATGGCCAGACTGAAGTTGAATAGGTGTTCAGAAACATATTTGAGGTGTTTCTGCTCTGATGATGCAACAGATTGGTATTCTTGTTTGCCTATGCTAGAATATTGGTATAATACCTCCGATCATTCTACTATCAAAACTACTCCTCATGAAGCTCTTTATGCGAGACTACCTTCCTTGCATCTTCCCTACTTTCTAGGAGAATCAAGCTCTTCAGATGTGACGTTCAACCGACGACCAGGTCTAGTGGTGTTTGCGAGTTTTCCTATTTTGACACTGCTAGTGAAGCTCTACGACAGAGCATATCCACATCCTGCCTTGGCCAAAAATGCCGCCTACACCTCCCAAGAAGCCTATTGTGACTTTTTGGATGAGAAACGAAGTGAACTTGACCAATAAGGCGGGAATGTATTAGTAAAGGACCAGATGTTGACAACACACTACTCAATAGAGAATTAAAGTTGTAGCTACTATAACACCACCTTCTTAAAGCTCAATTAAGAATAAAGCAACAAGCTGATTCCTACAAGAGCGATAGAAGTTTTGAAGTAGGGGATTGGGTCTACTTTAAAGTCCAACCTTATAAGCAATTGAGCATTGCTACACCTCAATTTCACAAGTTGGCTGCCAAGTATTATGGACCTTTTCAAATTGCTAGAAGAGTGGGACATGTTGCTTACAAACTTTTGTTTCCACCTTTAGTCAAGATACACCGTACTGTGCATGTTTCATTATTTAAGAAATGCTATCAACTACCTACTCAGATTTCCTACCCTTCATGTGCTGATTTGGCCAGTCCTCGTTGTCCCAATTCTGAGTCTCTGTTTTACAAAGAAAAATGGTGAAGAAGAGCAATAAAGTTGTTGCCCAAGTCCTCATCAAATGAGAAGGATTAATTGCAGATTGTGCTACTTGGGAGTTTTTCAAAGCTTTGAAGACCAGATTTCCATCTTTTGATCCTTGTTGTCAAGGATCTTTTGTAGGAGGCAGTATTGATATGCAACATGGAGTTGGAAGTGCAAGTTAGTTAGATAGTGAAGCCACATCAGCAGAAGCAGTTAAAAGTTAGTTAGTTGAAAGGGAAGTCAATTGAGTCACTTAGAGTAGGCTGCACAAGTCAATGTAATCCATTTTCAATAAATGATCTCAGTGTACACATTACAAAGATATTAGAAAAGCTATTACAATTATCTTTATGTCTACTCTCTTCTTCTTCTTCTTTGATCTCCATTGCTCATAATCTCGAGCTTCTCTGCAAGCTCCTGACTTAGCTGCTCGATCCTCGAACTCTTCACTGAGTTCCTGGAATTGAGCTATCAGATAGCTACTTACGCTATGTGTTATGGATTTTAGAAAATATACAAGTAGCAAGAAGGTTGAAAAATAGGATTGAAAAACTGTCTCTGAAATTTTATTAATCATAGGGCTTTAAATAGCCAAATAAATAAATTAGTAGATTCCCCCTACAACTAAATTACTAAACTCTTACTATAATTAAAATTTTGAATCTTCTAGCAGACTCCTCCTAAAACTAAACAACTAATTATTCTAGAAAACAGTAGCAGTAACAGATGCAAAATCCAACACTCCTCTTTGCTTCTGTTGCTGCAGTCTAAAGAAGGCCATCCTCAATTCCTTCTTCTGCTATTAGTGCTTGTGCATGAGCATTTTTTAACTTGCACACTTTTGTAACATGACCTTTTTGCTTGCAATTTCCACATAATGCATCAGATCTCCACCAACAAAAATTTTCTAAGTGTGTTTTCTTTTTGCAATATTTTGCAATAAGGATAATCGACATTTTCTTTTTGGTGTTTCGCATAAAAATACCCTCGGTAACTTTATCTTGTCTGAAGGCCCTTCTTTGCTCTTGTGCTTGAAGAGCACTTACTAATTCTGCAACAGAGATGGTAGAGAGATATTTAGACTCTTCCAGAGAGGAAATTGTAACACTCCTCAAATTTATAAAAGTTTCGATACACGCTATTTATAGAATTAAATTATTATTTTTTTCTTGCCTATATATATATATATATAGTTGGATGTACAATTAGGGGAATATTAATAGTTTTGTTATTATTAATTATTAAAAGTAGGAATAATTAAATACTAGTTAAGTAAAAAAAAAAGCAAAAGAAATCACGTGCAACCTAAAGCCATAAAAGGATCTTGGTAGTTGGCTGGCAAAAGGCTTACGCCTTAGGAAAAGAAAAATAGAACTCACATACGGTTTGCCAAGAAACAGAGGCACCGTTCAGCGAGGTACTCACACAGGCAACAAAAATTCTAGGTTTTTTTGCAAATCACTATTTCTTGAACCCATGTATATAAAATTTCTATTGTCAATTACGTACCCTATAGTAGTAATAGGTAAGAATTGAATAGTTAATTCCCTTCTTCCTCTATATCATCAATAAATTTCATAATTAGGTGTAGTACTTTGAAATTGATCCAAATGCACTGGTTGATGTAGAATCGATTGTTTGACTGGTGTCAATTGGACTGGGGTCTACGTATTGGCTCAAGGAGTATTGAGGTGAGTTGATATAACTCTTTACTAAAGTGGTTTAACTCACAAAAGCACGCACACAAAGTGTTTGATGAATTGCATAAAAGAGTTAATATATACTTAATGGGTGTAGTAAGTACCTATTAGCTTAGAATTATTTTCTAGCTAAAGTTTAGATGATTATTTGGATATATGTGCATAATTTCAGATTTTTATGTTATTCTTATATGCCATTTTCATGTTGAAAATTCATGAAGGATCAAGAACCTTTATAAATACTTTTGAATGTTTATTTCATTCCTATGTCATGCCTTACATTTAAGGATACCAGTATGAGTATGTATAAAATATTTAGACTTGAAAAGTTACAAGAAGAAGTTTTAGAAAGAAAATATTTTTGGGGAGTATCTTTTATTCTAAGAAGGGGTCATCGTCCAGGCCTAGGGTCCTGACCAAGACGTTGACTTCCTGAAACTACTTGTGCCAAAGTAGGGAGCACACAAGCCGAGGGTCTCGTTGTTGAGAATTTACTTAGTCATGCTAAGGTATGAGACATGAGCGCTGAGAACCATGAAGCGAGTGGCACCTCGTGGATTGGGCCTATTCGATTAGGTTGGGATCGAACTCGTGCCGATCACACGGTGACAGACAAAATTAAGTCAGGATAGTTGGAACTCCCAAAGTATAAAGTGAAGTATTTTTTTTATAAGTAAGAAAAAGAAAAGAATTTCTTTAGAATATTCATGAACTGCTATTATGCAATTATTTTAGAATTATTCTTATAAGCTTTATGTTTTACATGCATTTAGAACCTTTGCTCATAATGTATATGTTATTAAAGTTTCGCCCCCTATTGTTGAGACTTACTGAGTACAATGGATGGTACTGGCGTTCTCTTTTGGGAACCTACATTGGTCTGCGGTACAACGTAGGAACCGGATTTGCAGGTGAGCATGCTACGAGTTAGGACTTCCTTCTCTTCCAGTGCTATTGGTGAGCTCCGCTTTTGTTTGTGGAATATTCCTTAGAGTCATCTTTATTTAGTTATTTCTTTGTTACTTAGAGAACTTTCCAGAAAATCTCATGTCCTGAGCAGTGCGTCAGTTTATCAGTAGAGGCTTCATAGACATAGTCGTTGGGTTAAGATTAAGATATTTTTGATAATAACTTAGCAGCATTTTATTGGTTACTCCGAATAAAGTTTTGAAGTTGGCTTATTTTAGATATTTAAATTATTTAAAAGTGTTTGGTTACAGTAGTGCCTTGTGGCATATAAAGTTTGAGGTTATAATAGATTTGATAAGCAGAAATGGTCCGCTCGGTCATGTTTAGTGATCGAGTGTCGGTCCCGGCTTGTTCATAAAATGGGTCGTGACAAACTTGGTATCAGAGCCTCAGGTTTATGGAGTCCTAGGGGTCTATGAAGCCGTGTTAGTAGAGTCTTCTTTATGTGTATTAAGCGCGCCATACTTATAAACAGGAGGCTACAAGCATTTAGGAAAAGTCTCTTTTTTCATACTTTAGATCGTGCAGTAGAGTCTACCTCTAAGAAATTATCTAATTTATTCATTTCTCCAAATTCGCAAAAATGGCTCGTACTCGCAACTCTGACACTGACACTCAGGATGCTGCTCAAGAAACTATCGCTACTATTATGGCTCAAGGTGGAACTAAGAAGACTTCAACTCAGAAAAGGAGGGGAAAATCCACAAAGGGAGTCCAAGTACCCCGGGTTGAACAAGAAGAAGGGGTGAAGCATGATGATCCAGTACCTCAGGATCTAGTACCACCCCTAATAACAGCTCCGGCTCAGGCAACTATATCTTCCGAGGTGGATCAGATGTTTAATGCTGTCAACAGTGTTATGGAGATGTTTAAAGCCTTTATGTCCAACCAGAACGAGAGAAGAGATGAGATTCCACCTCAATCAAATAGATAGAACAATTCTGAGTCCTCAAGAGTGAATGAATTTTTGAAGTTGAGTTCTCCAGTGTTCCATGGTTCTATAGTTGATGAAAATAAGATGTTGTGGTTGGAGGGTGTCAAGAAAGCCCTCCGAGTGATGAAAGCATTTGATGATGAAGTTGTGGAGCTAGGTGCTTACCAGTTTAGATATGTGGACGGCGCTTGGTTTGAGTTGTGGGAAAAGGAAAGAGATGAAGATGATGGTTTGCCTACTTGGGAAGAATTTGAAGAGGCCTTCATGGATAACTTTATCCCAGAAGAGGATAGGGAAGCTAAGGCTACAGAGTTCGAACAGCTCAAGCAAGGGAATAAAAGTGTGCAAGAGTACTACATGGAATTCATAAGGTTAGCTAAGCATGCTTCTCACATGGTGAAGACTGAAAAAACAAAGATTCGCAGGTTTGTTGGCGATTTAGCTTACCACATTAAGGATACGACATCAGCTGCAACAGTAGGGATAGAAGCCTTCTCCTCTGTTATGGGATTTGCCAAGCACTTAGAGAAAGACAGCCAACTAAGGAGAGAAGAAAAAGAGCATAACAAGAAAGCCCGGACAACGGGCAGGTTTAATAGTACATCCAGCGGAGATGGAAGGGATTCCTCTAATAAGGAGTCATTAGCACCAGCTCAGTCCAGTCATCAGTCAGGTGGTGGGTCTTCCTTCAGACGTACTCAGAGTTATGGAAATCAGTCTCGCTAGAATCAGAATTTTAGGACATCATCCTTACATAGCCAGAGTCATGCTGAGCAATATTCACACCAGCAAGGTCTTTGTGGAACATGTAAGTGGCAACATTCAGGTCAGTGCAAGCTCGGCTTTCATGGTTGCTACCATTGTGGAGACATTGGTCATATAAATGCCAACTGCCCAAAGTTGCAACGTAATTTCAGTGGTAGATCAACTCGTCCTTCTAGTTCCTCAACTACTGCAATTGCACCACCTCAGGCTCGTGGTTCTCATAATCAGACCGGGCATAGAGCGGGCAGAGGTGCAGACCGAGTTACTCAGGGAGGGGGACAACCCCGTTTGTTTGCTACACTTGATCATCAGAGCGCAGAGGCATCTGCAGAAGTTATTACATGTATACTTTTAGTCTGCTCAAATAATTCTTACGCCATAATGGATCCAAATTCAACATTTTCATATGTGACTCTATACTTTGCAATTAACCTCGGACTAGAACCTAAACAACTTAGTGAGCCATTCCTAGTATCTACTCCAGTTGGCGAGTCAGTGAAAGTCACCAGAGTCTATAGAGGTTGTATAGTTTCAGTCCAAGATCGCAACACCAAGGCCGATCTCATAGAGTTTGAAATGGTGGATTTTGATGTGATTATGGGTATGGACTAGTTGTCTTCCTGCTATGCCATGTTAGATTGTCATGCCAAGATAGCCAGGTTCCAATTTCCAAATGAAGAAGCCTTATAGTGGAAGGGTAGTTCAGCATCGCTTGTAGGTAAGTTTATTTCTTATCTTAAGGCACACCGAATGATCGATAAGGGGTGTTTCGCCTATTTGTCTCACATTATTAATCCAGAATCAGAACCACCAACTCTTCAGTCAGTGCTAGTTGTTAGAGAATTTCCAGAAGTTTTCCCAGATGACCTTCCTGGACTTCCTCTTGAAAGAATCATCGACTTTGGCATTGATCTCATGCCAGGAACTCAGCCCATATCTATACCTCCTTATAGGATAGCTCCAGCAGAACTTAATGAGTTGAGAGAACAATTGAAAGACCTTCTTGACAAGGGCTTCATCAGACTGAGTGTTTCACCGTGGGGTGCCCTGATCCTGTTTGTCAAGAAGAAAGATGGGTCTCTCAGAATGTGCGTCGACTAACGGCAGTTGAATAAAGTTACAATTAAGAACAAGTACCCACTGCCAAGAATTGATGATTTATTTGATCAACTTCAGGGAGCAAAGTACTTTTCAAAAATAGACTTGAGGTCGGGGTACCATCAGTTAAGAATCAGAGAAGAGGATATATCTAAAACAGCCTTTAGAACTCGCTACGGGCACTATGAATTTTTAGTGATGTCCTTCGGGTTGACAAATGCTCTAGCTGCATTCATGGACCTCATGAACAGAGTTTTCAAGCCATTCCTGGATACCTTTATTATCGTGTTTATAGACGATATGTTGGTATACTCTAAGAGCAAGGAAGAACATGCAGAACACCTTAGAATAGCCTTGCAGACCTTGAAGGAGAATGAGCTTTATGCCAAGTTTTCAAAATGTGAGTTCTGGCTGCAGTCAGTAGCATTCTTAGGCCACGTGGTATCTAGTGAAGGAATAAAAGTAGACCCTCAGAAGACAGAAGTAGTCAAGAACTGGCCTAGGCCGACAACGCCAACCGAAATCAGGAGTTTCTTGGGGTTAGCTGTCTACTATAAAAGGTTTGTTGAGGGGTTTTCTTCACTCACAACTCCATTAACTAAGTTGACCCAGAAAGCAGTTAAGTTCCAGTGGTCAGACGCTTGTGAGCAGAGTTTTCAAGAGTTAAAGAAAAGGTTGACCACTGCACCTGTATTAACCTTGCCGATAGGTTCGGGTGGGTTCACAATGTATTATAATGCCTCCATAGTGGGCCTTGGTTGTGTTCTTATGCAAAATGAAAAAGTTATTACTTATTCTTCTAGGCAGTTAAAGAGTCATGAAAAGAACTACTCCACACACGATTTGCAGCTTGCAACAGTGGTGTTTGCATTAAAAATATGGCGACACTACCTTTATGGCGAACATTCTGAAGTGTTTATAGATCATAAAAGCCTCCAGTACATTTTCAAGCAAAAAGAACTAAATTTGAGACAAAGAAGGTGGCTCGAGCTATTGAAAGATTATGATATCAATATCCTTTATCACCCGGGCAAAGCTAATGTGGTAGCAGATGCACTTAGTAGGAAGTCAATGGGTGTCTTGGCCCATCTTGGTGTACAAAGGCGATCTTTGGGTCGAGAAATTCAAAAACTAGCCAATGATGGAATTAGATTGGATGAGACCGAAAAAGGAGATATAATTGCTTATGCCTTAGCAATATCCTCCCTTGTTGCGCATGTTAAGGCTAAGCAAGACGAAGATCCATACTTAGTGAAATTAAAAGAAGGAGTCAGAAACAAAGAAATCACTGCTTTCACTCTAGGAAGTGACGGAGTTTTAAAGTTGAATGATCGGTTATGTGTGCCTGATGTAGATGGTCTTAGGAAGGCCATAATGGAGGAAGCTCACAGTTCGAGGTACTCTATCCACCCAGGTGCTACCAAAATGTATCTAGATTTGAAAGAGTTGTATTGGTGGAAAGGCATGAAGAAACAAGTAGCAGATCATGTGGCTAAATATTTAAACTGCCAGCAAGTCAAAGCCGAGCATCAGAGGCCTGGTGGCCTAGATCAAGACATAGAGATACCACAGTGGAAGTGGGAGATGATTAATATGGATTTCGTAGTAGGTCTACCTCACACATACCATAAACATGATTCAATTTGGGTTATTGTAGACCGACTGACAAAGTCCGCACATTTCCTACCAGTAAAGACGACAGACTCCGCAGAGCAGTATGCACAGTTGTACATCAAAGAAATAGTCTAATTGCATGGTACTCCAGTTTCAATCATATCTGACAGAGGCCCTCAGTTCACGGCGCATTTTTGGCAGGCATTTCATAAAAGATTAGGTACCAAGGTCAATTTAAGCACCGCTTTTCATCCACAGATCGATGGCCAGGCAGAAAGGACTATTCAGACTCTCGAAGATATGCTGCGTGCATATGTTATAGATTTTAAAGGTAACTGGGATGATCACTTGCCACTTATAGAATTTTCTTACAATAACAACTATTAGGCCAGCATTGGTATGGCTCCTTATGAAGCGTTGTATGGACGGAGATGTAGGTCTCCAGTAGGTTGGTTTGAACCAGCAGAGGTGTCGTTGATTGGTCCAGAGTTTGTTTGTGAGGGCTTGGATAAAGTTCAGCTAATTAGAGAAAGACTTAAAGTGGCTCAAAGTCGTCAAAAGTCTTATTCTGATAAGAGTCATCGTGAGTTAGAGTTCATGGTTGGTGATAAGATGTTTTTGAAAGTTTCACCAATGAAAGGAGTTATGAGGTTTGGTAAGAAAGGGAAACTTAGCCCTAGATTTATCGGACCTTATGAAATTCTAGAAAAGAAAGGAAACATGGCTTATAAGCTAGCGCTACCCGTTGAGTTGTCCTCTGTTCATCCTGTTTTTCATGTGTCTATGCTTAGAAAGTACATTCATGATGAGTCGCATATAATACCTGCCGATACCATAGAAATTAAAGAAGGTTTGACTTATGAAGAGGTACCTATAGAAATTCTCGATAGACAAGTAAAAAAGTTGAGAACAAAAGATATAGCATTGGTAAAAGTTTTGTAAAGTAATCATGATTCAAAAGAAGCTACGTGGGAGGTCGAGGAAGATATGAGGAAGAAGTATCCTTATCTATTTGAGTAACAACGTATGTGAACCTAGGTTTGGCTTGACATTTATATTTCATTTATTAAATACAAGTTAGCAAGTGTTTATGTCCTTCCTAGATTATATTTAGTTGTTGTAGTGATTTAGTTTATGCAGAGTATATTTAATTCATTAAAGTGATTTACTTTTGCTAAAGTGTTGTGCTTTAAATTCTTGTTAGTTATTGTGGTACCTCCTTGCCGGAGTGTGCGTAATTAATTTATGAGCTATGTATGGTGCCTATGAATGGCCTGTTATGGTATATTTGGTTGTTATTGGTGTAGTTGTGGTATTTGTGACCGGGATATTTATTTTTTTATAGTCCAATTTACAAGGGAAACTCTGCCGAAATTTTTGAAAATTTGGGGAGTTAGCCAAAATTTTGAGTCCCTTGGAAAAGTGAGTAGTACTAAGAAAACTTAAGAGGTTCAAGGACATAAGGAATGATTGTTAGCTTAATAATAAGGCCCTAGCAACATTCGAGGACGAATGTTTTTAAGGAGGAAAATTGTAACACTCCTCAAATTTATAAAAGTTTCGAGACACACTATTTATAGAATTAAATTATTATTTTTTTCTTTCCTATAGTGAATATATATATATATATATATATATATATATATATATATATATACACTTA